GAATATTTCCTTTATAGTTTGAGCTCTTCAGAAAGCCTTTGATGTCCTAAGCCAAAGCAAAGACCCATCAGGATCTGAGAGACGTACTTGGGTCCCCCGTGCCAGCTTTTCACTTACTTCTGTCATTTAATTTCCCACGTAATATGAGAAAAGTCTCAGCCAACATCTTCATTTTCATTCATTAGTGAAATCATCGCAATAATACAACTCTGCGCTTAGCTCCCTCAGAGGGACTTGGGAGGTGTCTGTCACTGCTGGGTGCATATATGAACAGCTCCCCATCCAAAAATGAATGGTTAGGAAAGTTCCTGAATATTGAAAAGGTCAAAGCACTACAGGACCATTATTACCACTCAGAGCTACACGAGGCATAAAAATCACATGAGTGGGAAAGGTGGAAGAGGCAGCTGGCTCCCTGGGTAACGCTGGGGCTGCATCTCTCTCCAGGCTCAACAGTAGCTCTTCTCACTCCTCCCTGTTTGTTTTTCCCCTCAAGAAGAGGTCATTTTGTGTTGTGCCTGAAGGCACTTTGTGCATCCGCTGTTATGCCGTCCTCTACAGCTTTAATCTGCATAGGTGAGCTGCATCCCTAAAGAGTTTAAAAGCTGATAGAATGAGAGCACAACAAAATTTCCACAGCTCTCTGTTCTAGGAGGGGGGGAAAAAATGTCCTGAAGAGCTCTCTTTATTAATATGAGATGGCAAATATTTTTTCCTGTTTATTAAATCATATGAAAGGTTAATTATGGTTAGCGACTGTGGGTAGAAAACAATTCTTGGAAGATGCTTTTGTAACAACAGGTTGGCAGTATGCAGAAGCCATCTGCTTCTTGCAAATGTTAAGGTACAATCTCAAACTTGTGAGGTTAAAAATTACAGATTGCATAGTAGTTTGGTAGAAGGAAAATCCATGTTGTGTTGATGTAAAGTTACTCGGTCTCCTTGACACGCAGCCTGGAAGGAGTGCCAAGTTCCCAAAGGACAGTTCTTGGCTGGAGAGGACTTTCATGTGGGGCATTCTGTGCTCACGACGGCGGTCTGCTGAGTTAATTCAGCCAGTTTTGCACTGTGATTTGTTTTTCTAAAGCAGGAATTGGTTTCAAATCCCAACCCGGGAAGAAGAGCAGACTGTGGATATAATACGGGCTCCTGTTATGCACAGAATTCAGCTCCTTCCACAAAAGAGACTAAAACGCTGCTGTCCTTGTCAAGGTGCTGTGCTCCTGGAACTTGTTGCTTCAGTCTGCAATGTGAAAATGTAGCTGCAGTGGGAAAATCTTTGAGGAAAGGATTATGTGTTTTGAAAGGAAGAGCGATCTCCCTCCTCTTCTACAGTGAGCTGGGCAGAAAGACATCAGGCAATTTGTCCAAGAGTGTGTGGGAGGCTGTGGCTGATGGAATTAAACCCAGACTTTTCAGATCACATTTAAGTGCCTTAACCACAAAACCATTCTTCCTCTCTGTGGATCAGCTACTGTAACTTCAGCAGTTGGGCTGGGTTTGCAAACATGTTGATCTTCTTCCAGGGACCGAGTTTAATTGTGCTGAATTTTCCACTTCCGCAGCGAGCATCGTGTGGTTCTTCCTGCCTGTAGCCAGCACTGCCCAAACTGAGCTGCCCATCAGCAGAAGGAAGAGGGATGGGTCCTCTCCAGGTTCTTCTCAGCCAAACAGGGAGAAATTCTCTTTTTTCCAGAACCTGAACCTAGAGCAATGCCATGTCAATACCAGCCGCTCTCCTGCTTTCCTAATTCTCACAGTAACTTCACTTCCAATTCATGCAGGCAACAGAGACACTGAATTATTTACTATGCAATAAAATATTTCCCTGTCTCATTTCTAGACTTTCTACCCTGAGCAATGTTTTCAAGGATTTGTTTGCATACAGGGGCTTTTCCTCCAGCAGTGACTTTTTAATACTTTCCAGATAGACAACTTCTTTTTCTAAAGCACCTTGTAAAGCGTTTGCATCTTCCACTGGTGCCCTCCTCTGTTATCTTCTATTTCTGGGCTGGAATCATTGATGGGGAGGAAGGAGCCAGCACCACTCCTCTGCCTGCCACCCAGCTCCATGCCCCATCCCTGAAGGTGCCTAAGGCCAGGTAGAATGGGCCCCTGGGCAGCCACATTTGGTGGGGGGCAACTCTGCCCATGTCAGGGGTTGAAACCTCCAATCCAACCATTCTATGATCCTATGATTCAATGCTCCGAGCTCTTTGAGGAAACCAAGTGTGGGTAATACCAGCAACGCTAGAATGGACTTCCTGGAGCTCTCTATAAGAGTTGGCCCCACAAGCAGTGAGGAGCACAGAGAAATTAGGGGTGAAATATTTCAGTCCCGCCAAAGGGATTTGGATGCCCAACATTCATTAGAATGAGTAACAATTCCCAGTCCTCATCAAATGGCCAGAGCCCAAATGGCTACATGAGCCTGAAACCATCTTGGTTAATGCATGGACACTTAAGCCACAGCATCTGACTTCACTTATATTTTAATTCCAGAAAACTTGGTTGATAATATCCAATGAAATACCCACATCCCCTCCTCTCTGCACCCATTACAGCACATTGGGCCGGTGCTTGCCAGCTCGGCTATCAGGGGAAGGTGATGAAGGTAGTTAATTTGTTTGCAAGTTGGTGAATGATGTAAAAGGTTCACCGTCCATCATCATAAAGACTCTCAAAAAAAAGAGACAAATGGTTCTTCCTCCCATTTTGCCTGCGTTACAGGGGGACATTTGAAACTGAGGGAAAGTTCAGCCCAGCCATATGTACAGAGGGCTGCACACAAATCACAGCTGCAGCTAATTGGATCCAGAGATCTAATTGGTCCCTGCTGGCTGGCCAGCACTACATGCAGGGTCATTGCACTGGGGCAGCCCCAGCACCTTTTGCTGTCCCTGACCTGCAGATGGGGTGAAGCTGTGTTGAGCAACAGCTGTGGGGCTGCGCTGGGGAGAACGTAGGCATAAAATAACATAAACATAAAATAACATAAAATACCTCCAGGTGGTCCCTCCAATTAATACCTCTCCCAGAAAATTCCTTACACCAAAGCATGGAGATACTCCCAATTAGGAAGTTTCCCACATCCCCTTCCTTCCAAAAGTGTTTTGCAAGTTCCTGGACTGTGCTAAGGATGTTGATCCTTTTTAACTCTTTTTGGATCATCACACATGAGCCATTCCAACCACTTGGGGCATGGATGCTCCCAGAGTACACAGAGAAAGAGGACCCAACATGTGGGGAAGAGAGTCCACAAGTTCAGTCTGAATGGTGCTGAGCAGCCCTGAGAAGGCTCCAACTCTTCTTACTTTATGCAAATCTCCTCCGCCAGTCCTAATTTTAATAAAGGTGATTAATTGTTGCACCGCGGACAAGGACAGTTATTCCCTGACTTATGCCACAGCGTTTATTGAAGCTGTATCCTTAAATGAATTACTACAGGGATCATTAAATTTTGACTTAAATTGGACATAGTAAGCTCATTTGAAAAATAAAAAGCTTAGCAAGTTATATATAAACTAGAGGGAAAATGAATCTCCACAAACTCTCCACCATCCCCTTTTCAGGCAGTGACTTAAAGGGCAGATTGGAGTTTTAATTTGCAAGGCTACTTTTGATGAGAGAAGTTTGATTGCATTTGGTCAAATCCGAATCGAATTTTTGCTCAACATTTGGTGCTTTTGACTCATCCGACTCAACAAAGAGAAATATAAATAACATGGAATCATAGAAGAATATCTTGAGTTGGAAGGGACCCGTAAGAAACATGTGTAAGGATACATATTATGTGCATCATTTGGGTTCTGCACAGCCATTGCTCCCCACATATGGGGCTGCAGTCCCCTGTGCAGCGCTGTGGGACTCAGTGAGATGCTCACATTGCCCTGCAGTAGGTAAGGATGGCTTTTGAGGACAAAGAGGGCAAACTGGAAAGGCTGCTCTCAAACGCCCGCCCCACGTGCTGCTCCTTGAGACCCCATCCCTGTCTCTCCATTCTCCACGCCTCTCTGTATTTTAATTAAAAATCTTAATTAATTTTTCACTTGTGTCAACATTTCTTTCTGCACAGCTATCAATGACTGACATATCTCTTGGGGTGTTTTGCTAGAGAAGGGAAGAATGCTCTTTTTATATCACCATTATGCAACAAACTCAAAAGGGCTGCAGTTCACCCTGGATCTTTAAAGAAATGCACAATAAATACATGAACCAACGTAAGCCCAAGGAAAAGGAAAAGGAGGAAAAAAAAGAAAAAAACAACAACCAGGAGGAATATAATGTCAAACTCCCATTGCTGTGAAAGTGTCTTTTACTTTGCCTCAGCACACAGGCCTTCCTCTTCATCCTTCACGCTCTTCCTCTCCATGGAAATTTCTATTGCATCGCCATCTCGTGGCTTTTTGCAAAAACTGCCAGTTTTGCAGCTTTACTGTGCAATGGCACTGATGGAAACATCACTCCCACTGGACACAAAATGCATGAGTAATCCCAGTTACTATTGCACCTGTAGGGCTTTTACATTTCCAGCTTTTATATTATTATTATTTATTAAAGTTTTGTTTTCTTATTTGTTTACAGACTTAGGGTGTTTATTACATTGTTATTGTGTCACTAGCACTGCTTTGGGGAATGGTCATACTTCAACCCATGCTACCTGTCTGAACAAAAGGCAGTTTTTGTGAAGCCTGTAAGCAAGTTTAGCCTTGTGGTCCTTTCACCAATAGCTTGTGGAAATCTAAATGATCAAATATCAAAATATAGTGCTGTGAAATGCAGCTTCATACGACTCAGAGGTGTCCATCCCTCAGGGAGCATAAGGATGTGTTTGCAAGGAGGGATCAGCAAAAGGGAGCCAATAAAGCAGCCACATTGCTGCAGCCTGCAGAGGATTTGGCTTTGTCTTTCCTGCCTGCAGGTGTGTTAAATCCCCATTACTCACACCCAAGGTTTTACCCAGCCCCTGACACCTGGGTGACAAGTGAGATGGTCTCAAATCTGGCCAGCCCCTAAGCTGGAAATGCAAGCTCCTGGTGTTCCAGTTACAGTTCTCCTGTCACATCCACCTTGTGACTATGGTCCTGGAGCCTGTTTTCCTGCTATGAAGGAAGAAAGTCCTTGTGTAAGGCTGTGTGTATGCTCCTGGTTTTCCTCAGCATGGCAACAGGTGCGTTAGTACTGAAACTCAGGTGGGCAACAGTCTCTTCTAATACTAGGTAGAGCTGTGGAAACCTTGTAGGTCTCCAAAGCCCTCAAAATTGCAATCAGGATTTTGATGACAGAAAGCAGAATGAGGGTGAACGCTAAAAAAGTGAGTTTAAACAAACCCAGACAAGAAAGAGCAAGTTTTGAGAAAGAGAATGGAGTGGTTATGAGCAGCTTCAGCTCTTCGAGCTGCTCTGGAAAAAGCTGAGGCACCACGGAAATACCCCCATGGTGATGGGAACAGTTCCTCCACGATTCCTAGGTCTGTCCATAGAAGTATGAATGTGATCAGGGGGATCTGTTTAAACCAGGGAACTATTGCCTGAAAAGAGCCCCAGGGAACCTGGGGTTTAGCTGAGTTTTGGGGCTTTCTGAGTGCAGCTACCCCCTTTTTGGGGGAAACCTCCCACTCACAAGACACTGGCTATTGACATCCTGCTCCCCACTTTTAGGCACTGTCCCTGCTGGATATATTATTCTGCATTTAAGGTATTTGCAAGAGGCAGTTAGCAGCTTATGTGTCATTCCATCATGGAGTAACTTTAGGAAGAAATGAGAAACTTGTTGCTAACTTGGTTTTCATTGAAATGAATGGCTTCCTTTATACCGGCCACCTCTCAGAAATGTTGAGATTTAATTAATCCCTTGCTGGAAATAATGTACAGCATTAGCCCTAATCTCTAGTGCAGGATATCGTTGCTAATGCTAAGCATAAAGAAGGAGGCTTGTTAAATGTACAGCTGGAAGCAGGCTGCGCCCAGCATGGGCAGCACTGCCATCCATCGACAAGCCCCAGTGTGTGCCCTTGTGGGGTGGAGGAAATGTTTGTTTCTAGTTGTGTTTGGAATTATATTTTCATGCTAAAGCTTTGCTACAAGGGTTGTACAGCAGTGTGAGTCCCAGCTTTCAGGAATCTAAATATGGTTAGTCGCTCAGCAGAGGTGCTGGGGTGCTTTTCTGTGCTCAGCCAGCTTTATGCCCTAAGAGGATCACCTCTCTTTCAGAGCAATTAGCAGAGATGCTGGAGCCCCTGTTGTCTCTTGGTCATTTTGGTAGTGCTGAAGATTTGCAGCAACGCCCGTCCCTCTGTCCTCCTATGCCTCCTTAGCTCCTGCTGTGGCTCTCCATCCATTTCTCCTAGAAACCACTTCTCTTCCTCACGCTTTGCATTAGGCTTTATATCAAGGACTAATCTCAGCACCAGCAGTGTCAGAGAGAGGGCTGTGGATTTCAGAAGACTGCAAGGACATCCGTTGCTCATTTCAGGGCAGTTTTTTAACAGATGATTAAATAACCAGATGAGAACAGTACCAGCACATCACTGAGACGCGTTCCGTTCTCTAAGTGAGCCTGGCTGTGATTTCTTTTCCCCAGGAGGATGAAAAATGTGAGGGGTTGGGCCGCATTGGTGCTCACTGATGTCCTTTGATGGGGCTTATCTCCACATACAGTGTTGTAGGTGAGATGTGAAATGCTGGTGGGGTTTCGAGGGGAGGCTGCAGCACTTTCTGAGTATTTCTGAGTGCAGAATATGAAGACGTGCTTTGGGTCTTTACTCACAGGATCCAACTGGAAAGGATCAAAGGAAAAGTGTCTATTTTTGGCTTTACATCTACTAATCGCTCTGAACAAATGAGCAATGCATCTGAGAAGTAATCTTTTTTCAGGTTTCCATCTGCTAAAAGTCTTGTAGGTGCTGTAACTTCAGAATAATTTCATGCCTGTACTTTTCACTGAAGACTCTGAAGTTGGAGTCACCAGTGAGTAGAAGAATGCAAATTTCTTTTCCTGACACTTGTGTCCATTCAGAAAACTACTGAAACAACACGTTTCAGGGCTGTGAACACCTACACCCAAAAATGTTGGAAACAGTGAGCTTTATAGGTTGCACAGCTCCTTTCAGTGCAAGGTAAACTGGCAATGCTACTCTGCATCTTTCTAAGTCCTTCTGAAGACCTCGAAGCCAATTTGGAAGGGATATAAGGGAGAGAGGTGTGAAGACAGGGCAGAACCTGAGCCCTCCATCACACACATCTCCTCTGCAGGCTTTGGTGCTGATGCAGACAATGGCACATCAGGGAATGCTGATGGATTGCTTCTGCAGAACGTATTTGATCAGTGTGGATTTTATGCAAAGGAAAGAAAGAATGAAAGACAACTCAAAGAGCTGAAAAGGAAACAAAACAGTGAGTGGAAGTAGGTGAGAAAGAAAGATTAAAGGGGCTTAATTCAAAGAGATGTTTCCTTTCTGCAACGTAAGAGGTTATCCCTTTGCCCTACGTCATGCTCTAAATCCTATTCTGCAGTGATAATGGAGTGGCACAGAGGGAATGGGATAGGCTGTGGGGTAGGATAGCACAAAAGTCAGAATTATTTGCTGCATTTATAGTGACCGAGTCTTTCCTAAAGGGAAGCTTCTCGCTGTTTTATATCCAAGCAGTATAACTGTGCTTAAATAAATATCTCCATCGTTTGACAGCCATAGGCTCATTCCTTGGAGGCCAGTGGTGATTCTAGGGTGAATTTCCCAGCTTTCTGTGAAAGTGAGGTTTCACACCAGTTGTGAGCGAGTTCCACCCACTGCACCATCGTGTCGCAGACCTGTGGAAAGGAGTGTGGGAGCAGAAAGGGAGACTTCAGAGCTGTTGCTTTTCAGACGCTGGTTATCACAGGGTATTCTGTGCATCATTCTGAATTTGGGCTTGTTTTTGTGTGAAAGCCATTGGCTGGCAAGACTGCAGCAAGCATTCCTAGTAGTGCTGTTTTGAAGGGGAAAAAAAAAAAAAAAAAAAAAAAATTCTTGGAAAATTTTGACTTTTTAACTGAAAACTTGAAAACTTCAGCTGAAACCTTTTCAGCTGGAGAGCCTTCCCCAGTGCGGCTTCTTGTTTCTTTAAGCCAAAATGAAATAGCATAGAGGGAAATGGAAAATTTTCTGTTCTCGTGTAAAAGGCAAGTTTCTTACTGGTGTGCATTGATGGTAGTCTCTGCCCTGGCTGCCTGCTGGCCTCCAGCTCCACTGTGGCTCTGTGGATTGGTGTTCCCTGAGGTGCAGTGGAAGCTTTGCATAGTGGGAAACTGCCCGTGCTTGGCCACAGATGTTTCAGAGCATGGAAAATTTCCCTTGGAAGTCTCTATGCCATGGGTATCCAACATAGGCACTGATGGGATAAGATGCCTGTCACTATTAAAACTATGAATCGGTTACCAGGGGATGACAAGGATCTACAGTGAGAGAGTATATACTGGGTTGATAAATGTTTCTGGGAATATCTGGACCCTCTGTTGTTGAAAGCTTGGTTGAGGAAGCGTGATTTGGGCATTGGAGACTGAATTCAGTGGGGTGGGAATGCCAAAGGGGCCCCACACCACAGCATCGACCACCCATGTGTGGTGAGACCAAGGGCAAGCCCCTCCAGTGACCTCCAGAGAAGAATTACAGGGGATAAACTGTTCCCCACACATCCCACCCCTGGCTGAGGCCTAGCCTGTTAAATTAAACCCATTTCACGAAGGGTTTTAAATGCTGCTTGCCCATATGCAGAATTATGTCTTTAAAGATTAAAAAATCCAATATAAACAAAATAAATCCAGGGAGCTGAATGCATGAATCATTATTTTAGTACATATTGTCCATTCTAATCTGCAGTCCAATTGTGAAGTCATTCAAAATGCTGCTTCTCAGTAATTAGCAGGAATCTAACTCGGAGCCAATTTCTGATTAAATGTGCTTAAAATCAATAAAACATCATGAGTGATTAGAGTCACGTGTGATTAGCCCTGTCGAACAAAGCAGAATAAGTTATGGCCTCACTTTAACTTGTCAAAAAACAGAACTGGGGGTGGGAATGAGGAGGAACAGCTGATATTTCTATAAAGGGTTTTTCCAGTTCTCTGCCTTTCTCTTTGCTCCTTTGGAAGAAGTGAAAGGATTGGTTTGTTGTCTGAAAATTACAGGCTGAGGGGGAAAGTTTAGGGGCGGTTTGGCTCCTCTCGTGGGTTTGTTTAAGGATACCCTGAAAAAGGACATTTTTAATTCTGCATCTCAGCTGCAGGAGTGTGACCTGCTTCTGCTGCAGTCACCTTTCCCTCCACTCATTCCTAGCTATCTGCATCAGGAATAGCCCACACCCATAGCAAAGCAACACTTTTTCACCTGGAAGAGAAGTCTTTGGTCATTAAGGTTGTAAAAGGCCTCTAAGATCAAGTCCAATCCCAATCCATCCCCATCAAGCCTACTGTGTTCTCCCCTTCCCTGTGGTCAAAGGCATGTGTTGTCATAACCCCTGCTGCTAACAGAATAAGGGTCCAGCATGAGATGCTGCTGCCAGCGAAGCATCTTTTTGGGCAGGCAGTGTTTTGCAGCATCCCCATCTGCAGCAGCTCTGGGCGGAGGTGTGTGAGCACCCAGCGCATGGGAAGGAGCTGGCTGCAATCTCATGTTGGGTGCGTGGGGTGGGAGAACTCCTCTGGAGCCCAGTGCTTGGCGTCAAGAGATGGAGAACAACACTCATAGCTACTGCTTCTTCACAGACAGCTTTGTGAACGCACCCACACCAGTAGGACCTTTGGAGGAAAATCTGTATAGATCTGTACTGCACCAGGATGAGGCTGCTGGGGCTGCTTTGTTCCTATCTCAGAAACCAAAGCAAAAAGAACACGTCCATGACATGCAGGCAGTGGTAGAAGAAGGGAAGTTTGGGAAACTCTGTCTCAAGTGTATTTCTGCTGCCAGTGGCTGTGTTTAATTGTATTGTTCTGTGGCCGATGGGAAAGTACATTGTTTATTTCAGTAGTATGGCCACATGTTGTTTCCTGCTTGCAGCAACGCTCAGGCTTCCACCCTGTGAAGCTCAGAAAATTTGGCAAAAGCTTATTTTTCTTTCTCTTGTGTATTTAATCCTGATGTGTTCCCTTCTGCAGATAAAAAATTGTTTCTGGAGTTTCTTGACACCGCTCTTT